CTCACACACGCACTCACACACTCACATACACGCACGCACTCACACACTCACGCACGCACATCAAAGACTCACGCATGCACTCACATACACCACACACACAGTCACGCACGCACTCACACACGCACACACGCACGCACTCACTCACACACTCACGCACTCACTCACACACTCACACGCACTCACACACTCACTCACTCACACACTCACGCACTCAATCACACACTCACGCACGCACATCACACACTCACGCGCACACACACACTCACGTACACTCACACACACATTCACGCACGCACTCACACGCACTAATGCACGCGTGCACGCACGCACTCACACGTACTCGCACACAAAGGCAAAGGTCCCCCGTGCAGCCTTCAACAGGCCTGCTGGGACAAGTGCTGTGAGCGAGTAGCAGAGGCTGTGAAGGCCACTGGGGAGACAAAGGCGGCCGGGCGTGGTGGTGCTGGCCAACCACCCCCTCGTGTGCCACGGTGCCGGTAGCCTTCATAAGGTGCTGCTACTCGCTAACAGCACTTGCCCCTACAGTCTGTTAAGGCTACACGGGGGGGATATTTGTCTTTTTTTGTGTAAGCGCGTGAGTACGTGTGTGCGTGTGTGCGTGCGTGTGTGTGAGTGTGTGAGTGTGTGTGTGGGAGCGTGTGTGGGTGCGTGTGTGCGTGCGTGAGTGTGTGTGAGTGTGTGTGAGTGTGTGTGTGCGTGCGTGAGTGAGTGTGTGAGTGAGTGTGTGAGTGAGTGAGTGTGTGAGCGAGTGTGTGCGTGTGAGTGTGTGGGAGCGTGTGTGCGTGTGTGGGAGCGTGTGTGCGTGCGTGAGTGTGTGAGTGAGTGAGTGTGTGTGAGTGTGTGAGTGAGTGTGTGAGTGAGTGTGCGTGAGTGTGTGAGTGTGTGCGTGAGTGTGTGAGTGTGTGCGTGCGTGTGTGGGAGCGTGTGTGGGTGCGTGTGTGCGTGCGTGTGAGTGTGTGCGTGAGTGTGTGCGTGAGTGTGTGTGAGTGTGTGAGTGAGTGTGTGAGTGAGTGTGTGAGTGTGTGCGTGTGAGTGTGTGAGTGTGAGTGTGTGTGAGTGAGTGTGCATGCGTGTGTGTGTGTGCGAATGTGCAAGTTCCGTTACTTGACATTGGACAGCCAGGATGTCCATGACTTGTGTAGCGATGGAGGAATCAACTCCAGCCGACCATCCTGCACAGCCTGGGAGACACGGGGGAGACACGGGGAGACACGGGGAGACGGGGGGAGACACGGGGAGACGGGGGGAGACACGGGGGAGACACGGGGGAGACACGGGGGAGACACGGGGAGACACGGGGAGACGGGGGGAGACACGGGGAGACATGGGGAGACACGGGGGAGACACGGGGAGACACGGGGAGACACGGGGAGACACGGGGAGACGGGGGGGAGACACGGGGAGACACGGGGAGACACGGGGAGACACGGGGAGACGGGGGGAGACACGGGGAGACACGGGGAGACACGGGGAGACACGGGGGAGACACGGGGAGGGACGGGGAGACACGGGGAGACGGGGGGAGACGGGGGGAGACACGGGGAGACACGGGGTGACACGGGGGAAACACGGGGAGACGGGGGGAGACATGGGGAGACACGGGGAGACACGGGGAGACACGGGGAGACGCGGGGGAGACACGGGGGAGACACGGGGAGACGCGGGGAGAAGCGGGGAGATACAGGGAGACACGGGGAGACACGGGGAGACGGGGGGAGACACGGGGAGACACGGGGAGACACGGGGAGACACGGGGAGTCGGGGGGAGACACGGGGAGACACGGGGAGACACGGGGAGACACGGGGGGAGACACGGGGGAGACACGGGGAGGGACGGGGAGACACGGGGAAACGGGGGGAGACGGGGGGAGACACGGGGAGACACGGGGAGACACGGGGAGACGCGGGGAGACATGGGGAGACACGGGGAGACACGGGGAGACGCGGGGGAGACACGGGGGAGACACGGGGAGACGCGGGGAGACGCGGGGAGATACAGGGAGACACGGGGAGACACGGGGAGACGGGGGGAGACACGGGGAGACACGGGGAGACACGGGGAGACACGGGGAGTCGGGGGGAGACACGGGGAGACACGGGGAGACACGGGGTGACACGGGGGGAGACACGGGGGAGACACGGGGAGGGACGGGGAGACACGGGGAGACGGGGGGAGACGGGGGGAGACACGGGGAGACACGGGGAGACACGGGGAGACGGGGGGAGACATGGGGAGACACGGGGAGACACGGGGAGACGCGGGGGAGACACGGGGGAGACACGGGGAGACGCGGGGAGACGCGGGGAGATACAGGGAGACACGGGGAGACACGGGGGAGACACGGGGGACAGGGGGAGACACGGGGAGACACGGGGGACAGGGGGAGACACGGGACACGGGCGGTGGACGGGGAGACACGGGCCTAGTGACTTTGTGGGGTTGCGACGTTCACCTGCACTGTCTCACCTGTGTGGCTCTGAGGTGGCCCCCCCCTTCTCCCCCCCTTCCCCCTCCCCCCGTGCCCCCCCGTGTCCCCCCCCCGTGCCCCCCCCCGTGCCCCCCCCCCCCCACCTGTGCTGCACGCTGCCCCATGTCCTGGCAGCGCACGAACCACTGGGACTTGAGCATGGGCTCCACCACGTCTCCTGATCGACTACGGAGACACGGAGACACGGGGACACGGAGACACTGAGACACTGAGACACGGGGACAGCACACGAACCACTGGGACTTGAGCATGGGCTCCACCACGTCTCCTGATCGACTACGGAGACACGGAGACACGGAGACACTGAGACACTGAGACACGGAGACACGGAGACACTGAGACACTGAGACACGGAGACACCGCGTGGGGACACGGAGACACGGGGACAGCACACGAACCACTGGGACTTGAGCATGGGCTCCACCACGTCTCCTGATCGACTACGGAGACACGGAGACACGGAGACACTGAGACACTGAGACACGGAGACACGGAGACACGGAGACACTGAGACACTGAGACACGGAGACACCGCGTGGGGACACGGAGACACGGGGACAGCACACGAACCACTGGGACTTGAGCATGGGCTCCACCACGTCTCCTGATCGACTACGGAGACACGGAGACACGGAGACACGGAGACACGGAGACACGGAGACACTGAGACACTGAGACACTGAGACACGGGGACACTGAGACACTGAGACACGGGGACAGCACACGAACCACTGGGACTTGAGCATGGGCTCCACCACGTCTCCTGATCGACTACGGAGACACGGAGACACGGGGACACGGAGACACTGAGACACTGAGACACGGGGACAGCACACGAACCACTGGGACTTGAGCATGGGCTCCACCACGTCTCCTGATCGACTACGGAGACACGGAGACACGGAGACACGGAGACACTGAGACACCGCGTGGGGACACGGAGACACGGGGACACGGAGACACGGAGACACTGAGACACGGAGACACGGAGACACGGAGACACCGCATGGGGACACTGAGACACGGAGACACTGAGACACGGAGACACCACGTGGGGACACTGAGACACGGAGACACCGCGTGGGGACACTGAGACACTGAGACACGGAGACACCACGTGGGGACACGGAGACACAGAGACACAGAGACACAGAGACACTGCGTGGGGACACTGAGACACGGGGACAGCACACGAACCACTGGGACTTGAGCATGGGCTCCACCACGTCTCCTGATCGACTACGGAGACACGGAGACACGGGGACACGGAGACACTGAGACACGGAGACACGGAGACACCGCGTGGGGACACTGAGACACGGGGACACGGAGACACGGAGACACCGCGTGGGGACACGGAGACAGCGAGTGGGGACACAGAGACACGGAGACACCACGTGGGGACACGGAGACACTGAGTCACGGAGACACGGAGACACCGCGTGGGGACACGGAGACACGGAGACACGGAGACACTGAGACACGGAGACACGGAGACACCGCGTGGGGACACGGAGACACGGAGACACAGAGACACGGAGACACCGCGTGGGGACACGGAGACACTGAGACACAGAGACACGGAGACACTGAGACACTGAGACACTGAGACATGGAGACACGGAGACACAGAGACACAGAGACACCGCGTGGGGACACGGAGACACGGGGACAGCACACGAACCACTGGGACTTGAGCATGGGCTCCACCACGTCTCCTGATCGACTACGGAGACACGGAGACACGGAGACACGGAGACACTGAGACACGGAGACACGGAGACACCGCGTGGGGACACCGAGACACCGAGTGGGGACACGGGGACACTGAGACACGGAGACACCGCGTGGGGACACGGAGACACGGGGACACGGAGACACGGGGACAGCACACGAACCACTGGGACTTGAGCATGGGCTCCACCACGTCTCCTGATCGCCTACGGAGACACGGAGACACCGCGTGGGGACACTGAGACACGGAGACACAGAGACACGGGGACACCACGTGCGGACACGGAGACACTGAGACAGCGAGTGGGGACACAGAGACACGGAGACACAGAGACACAGAGACACCGCGTGGGGACACTGAGACACGAAGACACAGAGACACTGAGACAGCGCGTGGGGACACGGGGACACGGGGACACTGAGACACTGAGACACGGAGACACAGAGACACGGAGACATGGAGACACCGCGTGGGAACACGGAGACACGAAGACACAGAGACACCGCGTGGGGACACGGAGACACTGAGACACGGAGACACGGGGACACCACGTGGTGACACGGAGACACCACGTGGGGACACCGAGACACCGCGTGGGGACAGAGAGACATGGAGACACTGAGACACAGAGACACCGCGTGGGGACACGGAGACACTGAGACACGGGGACACGGGGACATGGAGACACCGCGTGGGGACACGGAGACACGAAGACACAGAGACACTGAGACAGCGCGTGGGGACACGGGGACACGGAGACACTGAGACATGGAGACACCGAGTGGGGACACTGAGACACTGAGACACGGAGACACTGAGACATGGAGACACCGAGTGGGGACACTGAGACACTGAGACACGGAGACACTGAGACATGGAGACACCGAGTGGGGACACTGAGACACTGAGACACGGAGACACTGAGACATGGAGACACCGAGTGGGGACACTGAGACACTGAGACACGGAGACACAGAGACACCGCGTGGGGACACGGGGACACGGAGACACGGAGACATGGAGACACCGAGTGGGGACACTGAGACACTGAGACACGGAGACACTGAGACATGGAGACACCGAGTGGGGACACAGAGACACTGAGACACGGAGACACTGAGACATGGAGACACCGAGTGGGGACACTGAGACACTGAGACACGGAGACACTGAGACATGGAGACACCGAGTGGGGACACTGAGACACTGAGACACGGAGACACTGAGACATAGAGACACCGAGTGGGGACACTGAGACACTGAGACACGGAGACACTGAGACATGGAGACACCGAGTGGGGACACGGAGACACCGAGTGGGGACACGGAGACACTGAGACATGGAGACACTGAGACATGGAGACACCGAGTGGGGACACGGAGACACCGAGTGGGGACACTGAGACACTGAGACACGGAGACACTGAGACATGGAGACACCGAGTGGGGACACAGAGACACTGAGACACGGAGACACCGAGTGGGGACACTGAGACACTGAGACACGGAGACACTGAGACATGGAGACACCGAGTGGGGACACAGAGACACTGAGACACGGAGACACTGAGACATGGAGACACCGAGTGGGGACACTGAGACACTGAGACACGGAGACACTGAGACATGGAGACACCGAGTGGGGACACGGAGACACCGAGTGGGGACACTGAGACACTGAGACACGGAGACACTGAGACATGGAGACACCGAGTGGGGACACAGAGACACTGAGACACGGAGACACTGAGACATGGAGACACCGAGTGGGGACACTGAGACACTGAGACACGGAGACACTGAGACATGGAGACACCGAGTGGGGACACAGAGACACTGAGACACGGAGACACTGAGACATGGAGACACCGAGTGGGGACACTGAGACACTGAGACACGGGGACACTGAGACACTGAGACATGGAGACACTGAGACATGGAGACACCGAGTGGGGACACTGAGACACTGAGACACGGAGACACCACGTGGGGACACTGAGACACCGAGTGGGGACACTGAGACACCGAGTGGGGACACTGAGACACCGAGTGGGGACACGGAGACACTGAGACACCGCGTGGGGACACGGAGACACTGAGACACCGCGTGGGGACACGGGGACACGGGGACAGGGGGACACGGGGACAGGGGGACGAGGTGGCGAGTCACCTGCAGATGGACAGCAGCGTGCCGTGCGGCTCGCTCCGGCGTAGCAGCCGGGCATCACCAAGTCTCTGCAGAACCTCGGCACGCGCACAGAACCGTGGCAGGCCCTGGACACCACGGGGGAGACACGGGGGAGACACGGGGAGACACGGGGGGGGGACACGGGGGAGACACGGGGGAGACACGGGGGGGGGGAGACACGGGGGGGACACGGGGGGAGACACGGGGGAGACACGGGGGGAGACACGGGGGAGACACGGGGGGAGACACAGGGGGGGGGAGACACAGGGGGGGGGAGACACAGGGGGGGGGAGACACGGGGGGGGGGGAGACACGGGGGGAGACACGGGGGGAGACACGGGGGGGGGGGAGACACGGGGAGAGACACGGGGGGGGGGGGGAGACACGGGGGGAGACACGGGGGGAGACACGGGGGGGGGGGAGACACGGGGGGAGACACGGGGGGAGACACGGGGAGAGACACGGGGGGGGGGGGAGACACGGGGGGAGACACGGGGGCGGGGGAGACACGGGAAGAGACACGGGGGGGGGGGGAGACACGGGGAGAGACACGGGGGGGGGGGGACACAAGGGGGACACGGGGGCGGTTGTTGTTGTTTCGTCTGCGTGTGTGTGTCTGCGTTTGTGTTTTCTGTTGACGATGATGACGTTGATGATGATGATGATGACGATGTTGATGATGACGATGTTGATGATGACGATGTTGTTGACGATGTTGTTGACGATGTTGTTGACGATGTTGATGATGACGATGATGACGATGTTGATGATGACAATGTTGATGATGACGATGTTGATGACGATGTTGATGATGACGATGTTGTTGACGATGTTGATGACGATGATGATGATGACGATGTTGATGTAGATGATGTTGATGTTGATGATGATGATGACGATGTTGATGACGATGTTTTTGACGATGTTGTTGACGATGTTGATGATGATGATGACGATGTTGATGACGACGATGATGACGATGTTGATGACAATGTTGATGACGATGTTGATGACGATGACGATGTTGTTGACGATGTTGATGACGATGTTGATGACGATGTTGTTGACGATGTTGATGACGATGTTGATGACGATGTTGATGACGATGTTGATGGCGATGTTGATGACGACGATGATGACGACGTTGATGACAATGTTGATGACGATGTTGATGACGATGACGATGTTGTTGACGATGATGATGACGATGTTGATGATGATGATGACGATGTTGTTGACGATGTTGATGACGATGTTGATGACGATGTTGATGGCGATGTTGAAGACGATGATGATGATGACAATGTTGATGATGACGATGTTGATGTTGATGATGATGACGATGTTGATGACGATGTTGATGACGATGTTGATGACGATGATGACGATGTTGATGACGATGTTGATGACGATGTTGATGACGATGTTGTTGACGATGTTGATGACGCTGTTGAAGACGATGATGATGACGATGTTGATGTAGACGATGTTGTTGTTGATGATGATGACGATGTTGATGATGACGATGTTGATGACGATGTTGATGACGATGTTGTTGACGATGTTGATGACGATGATGACGATGTTGATGACGATGTTGATGACGATGTTGATGACGATGTTGTTGACGATGTTGATGACGATGTTGTTGACGATGTTGTTGACGATGTTGATGACAATGTTGATGACGATGTTGATGACGATGACGATGTTGTTGACGATGATGATGACGATGTTGATGATGATGATGACGATGTTGTTGACGATGTTGATGGCGATGTTGAAGACGATGATGATGATGACAATGTTGATGATGACGATGTTGATGTTGATGATGATGACGATGTTGATGACGATGTTGATGACGATGTTGATGACGATGATGACGATGTTGATGACGATGTTGATGACGATGTTGATGACGATGTTGATGACGATGTTGATGTTGATGATGATGACGATGTTGATGACGATGTTGATGACGATGTTGATGACGATGTTGATGACGATGTTGTTGACGATGTTGATGACGAGGTGGCACCTCCAGTCCAGGCCCAGCCTGTGCCCCCATGCGGCCGTCCCCGTCCATGACGCTGATGGAGGGGAGGCCGTGACGGGCGGCGATGGAGCGGTCAACCTCGTCATGGGCAGGGCTCACCTTCACCACTCCTACAACAACAACAACAACCACAACAACATCAACCACAACAACAACAACAACCACAACAACAACCTCGTCATGGGCAGGGCTCACCTTCACCACTCCTACAACAACAACAACAACCACAACAACATCAACCACAACAACCACAACAACCACAACAACAACCACAACAACAACAACATCAACAACCACAACAACATCAACATCAACCACAACAACAACAACAACAACAACCACAACAACCACAATAACATCAACAACATCAACAACATCAACAACAACCTCGTCATGGGCAGGGCTCACCTTCACCACTCCTACAACAACAACAACAACCACAACAACAACAACCACAACAACAACAACAACCACAACAACCACAATAACATCAACAACATCAACAACATCAACAACAACCTCGTCATGGGCAGGGCTCACCTTCACCACTCCTACAACAACAACAACCACAACAACCACAACATCAACAACAACCACAACATCAACAACAACAACAACATCAACAACAACCACAACCACAACAACAACAACCACAACAACAACAACCACAACAACAACCACAACAACAACCTCGTCATGGGCAGGGCTGACCTTCACCACTCCTACAACAACAACAACAACCACAACAACAACAACAACCACAACAACCACAACAACAACCACAACAACAACAACAACCACAACAACAACCTCGTCATGGGCAGGGCTCACCTTCACCACTCCTACAACAACAACAACAACAACCACAACAACAACCACTCCTACAACAACAACAACATCAACCACAACATCAACAACAACAACAACCACAACAACAACAACATCAACAACATCAACAACAACCTCGTCATGGGCAGGGCTCACCTTCACCACTCCTACAACAACAACCACAACAACAACCACTCCTACAACAACAACATCAACCACAACATCAACAACAACAACCACAACAACAACAACATCAACAACATCAACAACAACCTCGTCATGGGCAGGGCTCACCTTCACCACTCCTACAACAACAACAACAACAACATCAACCACAACATCAACAACAACCACAACAACAACAACCACAACAACAACAACCTCGTCATGGGCAGGGCTCACCTTCACCACTCCTACAACAACAACAACAACCACAACAACAACAACATCAACAACAACCACAACATCAACAACAACAACCACAACAACCTCGTCATGGGCAGGGCTCACCTTCACCACTCCTACAACAACAACAACAACCACAACAACCACAACAACATCAACAACATCCTCGTCATTGGCAGGGCTCACCTTCACCACTCCTACAACAACAACAACCACAACAACAACATCAACAACAACCACAACATCAACAAAAACAACCACAACAACAACAACCTCGTCATGGGCAGGGCTCACCTTCACCACTCCTACAACAACAACCACAACAACAACCACAACATCAACAACAACCACAACAACAACATCAACAACAACCACAACAACATCAACAACAACCACAACAACAACCACAACAACAACCACAACAACCACAACAACCACAACATCAACAACAACCACAACAACCACAACAACCACAACAACAACCACAACAACAACAAAACAACAACAACCACAACAACATCAACAACAACCACAACATCAACAACAACAACAACAACCACAACAACATCAACAACATCAACAACAACCACAACAACAACAACAAGAACCTCGTCATGGGCAGGGCTCACCTTCACCACTCCTACAACCACAACAACATCAACAACAACCACAACAACCACATCAACAACAACAACAACCTCGTCATGGGCAGTGCTCACCTTCACCACTCCTACAACAACAACAACCACAACAACAACAACAATTGTTGTGGTTGATACTGTGGTTGTTGTGGTTGTTGCTGTAGTGCTGTGGTTGTCGTTGTTGCTGCTGTAGTTGCTGTGGTTGTTGCGGTTGTTGTGGTGGTTGTTGCAGTTGTTGTGGTGGTTGTTTTCGTTGTTGTGGTAGTTGTGGTTGTTGTTGCTGTAGTTGCGGTAGTAGTTGTGGTTGTTGCTGTAGTAGTTGTGGTTGTTGTTGCTGTAGTTGTGGTTGTTGCTGTAGTAGTTGTGGTTGTTGTTGCTGTAGTAGTTGCGGTTGTTGCTATAGTTGTGGTCGTAGTTGTTGTTGCTGTAGCAGTTGTGGTTGTTGCTGTGGTTGTTGTTGTAGTTGTGCTTGTAGTTGTGGTGGTTGTAGTTGTGGTTGTTGTAGTTGTGGTTGTAGTTGTGGCTGTAGTTGTGGTTGTAGTGGATGTAGTGGCTGTAGCTGTGGTTGTAGTTGTCGTTGCAGTTGTGGTTGTTGTAGTTGTGGCTGTAGTTGTGGTTGTAGTTGTGGTAGTAGTTGTGGTTGTAGTTGTGGTTGTAGTTGTGGTGGTTGTAGTTGTGGTTGTTGTAGTTGTGGCTGTAGTTGTGGTTGTAGTTGTGGTAGTAGTTGTGGTTGTAGTTGTGGTTGTAGTTGTGGTGGTTGTAGTTGTGGTTGTTGTAGTTGTGGTTGTAGTTGTGGCTATAGTTGTGGTTGTAGTGGATGTAGTGGCTGTAGTTGTGGTTGTAGTTGTCGTTGCAGTTGTGGTTGTTGTAGTTGTGGTTGTAGTTGTGGTTGTTGTCGTTGTGGTTGTTGTAGTTGTGGCTGCAGTTGTGGTTGTAGTTGTAGTTGTTGTGGCTGTAGTTGTGGTTATGGTTGTTGTAGATGTTGTGGTTGTAGTTGTGGTTGTTGTGGCTGTAGTTGTGGTTGTAGTTGTGGTAGTAGTTGTTGTGGCTGTAGTTGTGGTTGTAGTTGTGGTAGTAGTTGTTGTGGCTGTAGTTGTGGTAGTAGTTGTGGTAGTAGTTGTGGTTGTTGTTGTTGTTGTGGTTGTTGTTGCCACCTGTTCCTAGCTCCGGGTCCACGCTGCCATCGGCGATGACCGGCAGCAGGCGGCCATCCAGCGGGTGCAGCACGCTGCTACCCACCAAGTGCTGCACAACAACAACAACAACCACAACAACAACCACAACAACAACAACCACAATAACAACAACAATAACAACAACAACAACCACAATCACAACAACCACAATAACAACAACAATAACAACAACAACCACAACCACAACAATCACAACAACAACAACCACAACAACAACAATCACAACAACAATCACAACAACAACCACAACAACAACAATCACAACAACAACAATCACAACAACAACCACAACAACAACAATCACAACAACAACAATCACAACAACAACCACAACAACAATCACAACAACAACAATCACAACAACAACCACAACAACAACAATCACAACAACAACCACAACAACCACAACCACGCTGCTGCCCACCAAGTGCTGCACAACAACAACCACAACAACAACCACAACAACTTCCACAACAACAACCACAACAAAAACCACAACAACAACCACAACAACCACAACCACAACAACAACCACAACAACAACAACAACCACAACAACAACCACAACAACAACCACAACAACCACAACAACAACCACAACAACCACAACAACCACGCTGCTGCCCACCACGTGCTGCAGTTACCCACAACAACCACAACAACAACCACAACAACAACCACAACAACAACCACAACAACAACAACCACAACAACAACCACAACAACCACAACAACAACCACAACAACAACCACAACAACAACCACAACAACAACCACAACAACAACCACAACAACCACAACAACAACCACAACAACAACCACAACAACAACCACAACAACAACAACCACAACAACAACCACAACAACCACAACAACAACCACAACAACAACCACAACAACAACCACAACAACAACCACAACAACAACCACAACAACAACCACAACCGTAACCACAACAACCACGCTGCTGCCCACTAGGTGCTGCACTCGCCCACAACAACCACAACCACAACCATAACCACAACCATGACCACAACCACAACCACAACAACAGCAACAACCACAACAACGCTGCTCCCCACCAGGTGCTGCACTAACCCACACCAACCAGAACTACAGCAACAATCACAACAGCAACAACTACATCAACCACAACAACTACAACCACAGCCATTACAATAACTACAACCAAAACCACAAACGTAACAACCACCACAACTACAATACCACAACGACCACCACTACAACAACCAAAACCACCACAGCAACCATAACCACCACAACAAAAACTACAAAAACCACAACAACAACCACAACAACCACCACAACAACCACCACAACAACGATTGTTGCTGTGTTTATGCTACATGTATGTATAGTGAACTTCTTAGGCACCCTACGTAGCCAAACGTAGCTAATCGGAGGTGCCGGGGGAAGAACAACAAACTAAACAACAACAACACGCAGTTGTAATCACATCACTTTTCAATTTAGTATAGTGGTGTAGTGTATAGTGTAGTGTATAGTGTAGTGTTTAGTGTAGTGTGTAGTGTAGTGTGTAGTGTAGTGTGTAGTGTAGTGTATAGTAGTGTAGTGTATAGTAGTGTAGTGTATAGTAGTGTAGTGTATAGTGTAGTGTATAGTAGTGTTGTGTATAGTGTAGTGTATAGTAGTGTAGTGTATAGTAGTGTAGTGTATAGTATAGTGTAGTATATAGTAGTGTATAGTGTAGTGTATAGCAGTGTAGTGTATAGAAGTGTAGTGTATAGTGTAGTGTATAGTAGTGTTGTGTATAGTGTAGTGTATAGTAGTGTAGTGTATAGTAGTGTAGTGTATAGTATAGTGTAGTATATAGTAGTGTATAGTGTAGTGTATAGTAGTGTAGTGTATAGTAGTGTAGTGTATAGTAGTGTAGTGTGTAGTGTAGTGTATAGTAGTGTAGTGTACAGTGTAGCGCATTGTAGTATAGTGTATCACAGTGTAGTGTACAGTGTAGCGTATTGTAGTATAGTGTATCACAGTGTAGTGTACAGTGTAGTGTATTGTAGTATAGTGTATCACAGTGTAGTGTACAGTGTAGTGTATTGTAGTATAGTGTATCACAGTGTAGTGTACAGTGTAGTGTATTGTAGTATAGTGTATCACAGTGTAGTGTGTAGTGTATTGTAGTATAGTGTATCACAGTGTAGTGTACAGTGTAGTGTATTGTAGTATAGTGTATCACAGTGTAGTGTATTGTAGTGTATCACAATGTAGTGTACAGTGTAGTGTATTGTAGTGTATCACAGTGTAGTGTACAGTGCAGTGTATTGTAGTATAGTGTATCACAATGTAGTGTACAGTGTAGTGTATTGTAGTGTATCACAATGTAGTGTACAGTGTAGTGTATTGTAGTATAGTATATCACAGTGTAGTGTACAGTGTAACGTATTGTAGTATAGTGTATCACAGTGTAGTGTACAGTGTAGCATATTGTAGTATAGTGTATCACAGTGTAGTGTACAGTGTAGTGTATTGTAGTATAGTGTATCACAGTGTAGTGTACAGTGTAACGTATTGTAGTATAGTGTATCACAGTGTAGTGTACAGTGTAGCGTGTTGTAGTATAGTATATCACAGTGTAGTGTACAGTGTAGTGTTTTGTTGTATAGTGTATCACAGTGTAGTGTACAGTGTAGCATATTGTAGTATAGTGTATCACAGTGTAGTGTACAGTGTAACGTATTGTAGTATAGTGTATCACAGTGTAGTGTACAGTGTAGCGTGTTGTAGTATAGTGTATCACAGTGTAGTGTACAGTGTAGCGTATTGTAGTATAGTGTATCACAGTGTAGTGTACAGTGTAACGTATTGTGGTATAGTGTATCACAGTGTAGTGTACAGTGTAACGTGTTGTAGTATAGTGTATCACAGTGTAGTGTACAGTGTAACGTTTTGTAGTATGGTGTATCACAGTGTAGTGTACAGTGTAGCGTATTGTAGTATAGTGTATCACAGTGAAGTGTACAGTGTAGTGTATTGTAGTATAGTGTATCACAGTATAGTGTACAGTGTAGTGTGTTGTAGTATAGTGTATCACAGTGTAGTGTACAGTGTAATGTATTGAAGTGTAGTGTATCACAGTGTAGTGTACAGTGTAATGTATTGTAGTATAGTGTATCACAGTGTAGTGTACAGTGTAGCATATTGTAGTATAGTGTATCACAGTGTAGTGTACAGTGTAGTGTGTTGTAGTATAGTATATCACAGTGTAGTGTGTAGTGTATTGTAGTATAGTATATCACAGTGTAGTGTACAGTGTAGCGTATTGTAGTATAGTGTATCACAGTGTAGTGTATAGTGTAGTGTATTGTAGTGTATCACAGTGTAGTGTACAGTGTAGTGTATTGTAGTATAGTATATCACAGTGTAGTGTACAGTGTAGTGTATCAGTGTAGTGTACAGTGTAACGTTTTGTAGTATAGTGTATCATAGTGTAGTGTACAGTGTAGTGTATTGTAGTGTATCACAGTGTAGTGTACAGTGTAGCGTGTTGTAGTATAGTGTATCAGTGTAGTGTACAGTGTAGCGTATTGTAGTATAGTGTATCAGTGTAGTGTACAGTGTAGCGTATTGTAGTATAGTGTATCAGTGTAGTGTACAGTGTAGCGTATTGTAGTATAGTGTATCAAAGTGAAGTGTACAGTGTAGTGTGTTGTAGTATAGTGTATCACAGTGTAGTGTACAGTGTAGTGTATTGTAGTATAGTGTATCACAGTGTAGTGTACAGTGTAGCGTATTGTAGTATAGTGTATCACAGTGTAGTGTACAGTGTAGTGTATTGTAGTATAGTGTATCACAGTGTAGTGTACAGTGTAGCATATTGTAGTATAGTGTATCACAGTGTAGTGTACAGTGTAACGTATTGTAGTAGAGTGTATCACAGTGTAGTGTACAGTGTAGTGTATTGTAGTATAGTGTATCACAGTGTAGTGTACAGTGTAGCGTATTGCAGTATAGTGTATCACAGTGTAGTGTACAGTGTAGCGTATTGTAGTATAGTGTATCACAGTGTAGTGTACAGTGTAGCGTATTGTAGCATAGTGTATCACAGTGTAGTGTACAGTGTAGCATATTGTAGTATAGTGTATCACAGTGTACTGTACAGTGTAGTGTATTGTAGTATAGTGTATCACAGTGTAGTGTACAGTGTAGTGTATCACAGTGTAGTGTACAGTGTAGTGTATTGTAGTATAGTGTGTCACAGTGTAGTGTACAGTGTAGTGTATTGTAGTATAGTGTATCACAGTGTAGTGTACAGTGTAACGTATTGTAGTATAGTGTATCACAGTGTAGTGTACAGTGTAGTGTATTGTAGTGTAGTGTATCACAGTGTAGTGTACAGTGTAGTGTTTTGTTGTATAGTGTATCACAGTGTAGTGTACAGTGTAACGTATTGTAGTATAGTGTATCAGTGTAGTGTACAGTGTAACGTATTGTTGTAATAGTGTATCACAGTGTAGTGTACAGTGTAGCGTATTGTTGTAATAGTGTATCACAGTGTAGTGCATAGTCACACCCCCAAGTAGCCAACCGCGCTAATCGTCAAGGCCAACAAAATATGGCGGTGGCTGCTTCGGTGCTTGTCGGTCGGCCCCGCCGGCTGCGGTTTTTGCCGCAGGTCTCCTACCTGGTAGCGGGCGTCGTCGGGGTGGACTGCGAGGGCGACGTCTCCCGGCATCGTCTCCACGCGCGTCGTGCCGACGAGCAGCTCGTCCGGCCCCGGCACAGCGGCTACTCACCGCCCACACCCCCCCAACGCGGACAAAAGTGGCGCTTCCGTTGCGGCTCGCGCAACAAGCGCCGGCTGCCCCAGCGGTGCGGCGGCGGTGGTGGTGGTGGCGGCGGTGGTGGTGGTGGAGTGGGTCGGTGGGTGGGTTGGTGAGTGAGTCGGTGGGTCAGTGGGTGAGTGGGTTGGTGGGTGAGTGGGTTGGTGGGTGAGTGGGTTGGTGAATGGGTGGGTTGGCGGGTGGGTGAGTGGGTGGATTGCTGGGTGAGTGAGTGGGTGGGTTGGTGGGTGAGTGGGTGGGTGAATGGGTGGGTTGGTGGGTGGGCGAGTGGGGGAAGGGGTGGGTTGGTGGGTGAGTAGATGGGTGAATGGGTGGGTGGGTGGGCGAGTGGGTGGGTTGGTGGGTGGGTGAGTGAGTGAATGGGTGGGTGGGTGAATGGGTGGGTTGGTGGGTGGGTGAATGGGTGGGTGGGTTGGTGGGTGGGCGAGTGGGTGAATGGGTGGGTTGGTGGGTGAATGAGTAGGTGGGTGAATGAGTAGGTGGGTGAATGGGTGGGTGGGTGGGCGAGTCGGTGGGTTGGTGGGCAAGTGGGTGGGTGAATGGGTGGGTGAGTGGGTGGGTGAATGGGTGGGTGGGCGAGTGGGTGGGTTGGTGGGTGGGTGAGTGAATGGGTGGGTTGGTGGGTGAGTGGGTGGGTGAATGGGTGGGTTGGTGGGTGAGTGAATGGGTGGGTTGGTGGGTGGGCGAGTGGGTGAATGGGTGGGTTGGTGGGTGAATGGGTGGGTGAATGGGTGAGTGGGCGAGTGGGTGGGTTGGTGAGTGGGTGAATAGGTGGGTTGGTGGGTGGGTTGGTGGGTGGGTGGGTGGGTGAGTTGGTGGATGGGTGGGTGGGTTGGTTGGTGGGTGGGTTGGTGGGTGAGTTGGTGGGCGAGTGGGTGGGTTGGTGGGTGAGTGGGTGAATGGGTGGGTTGGTGGGTAGGTGGGTGAGTTGGTGGGTGGGTGGGTAGGTGGGTGAGTAGGTGGATGGGTGGGTTGGTTGGTGGGTGGGTTGGTGGGTGAGTAGGTGGGTGAATTGGTGGGTTGGTGGATGAGTGGGTGGGTGAATGGGTGGGTTGGTGGTTGGGCGAGTGGGTGAATGGGTGGGTTGGTGGGTGGGTGGGTTGGTGGGTTGGTGGGTGGGTTGGTGGGTAGGTGGGTTGGTGGGTAGGTGGGTGGGTTGGTGGGTGGGTTGGTGGGTAGGTGGGTTGGTGGGTAGGTGGGTGGGTTGGTGGGTGAGCAGGTGGGTGAATGGGTGGGTTGGTGGGTGGGTAGGTGGGTTGGTTGGTGGGTTGGTGGGTGGGTTGGTTGGTGGGTGAATGGGTGGGTTGGTTGGTGGGTGGGTTGGTGGGTGGGTTGGTTGGCCGGTGAATGGGTGGGTTGGTGGGTGAGTGGGTGGGTTGGTGGGTTGGTGGGTAGGTGGGTAGGTGGGTGGGTGAGTGGGTAGGTGGGTGGGTTGGTTGGTGGGTTTGTGGGTAGGTGGGTTGGTGGGTAGGTGGGTGGGATGGTTGGTGGGTGGGTTGGTGGGTGGGTGGGTTGGTGGGATGGTTGGTGGGTGGGTTGGTGGGTGGGTGGGTGGGTTGGTGGGTGGGTAGGTGGGTGGGTGGGTTGGTGGGTGGGTTGGTGGGTGGGTGGGTAGGTTGGTGGGTTGGTGGGTTGGTGGGTGGGTGGGTTGGTGGGTAGGTGGGTTGGTTGGTGGGTGGGTTGGTGGGTAGGTGGGTGGGTTGGTGGGTAGGTGGGTGGGTGGGTAGGCGGATGGGTTGGTGGGTGAGTGGGTGGGTTGGTAGGTAGGTGGGTTGGTGGGTGGGTGAGTGGGTAGGTGGGTGGGTGGGTTGGTTGGTGGGTGGGTAGGTGGGTGGGTGGGTTTGTGGGTAGGTGGGTTGGTGGGTTGGTGGGTGGGTTGGTGGGTGGGTTGGTGGGTGGGTTGGTGGGTGGGTGGGTTGGTGGGTGGGTTGGTGGTTGGGTGGGTTGGTTGGTGGGTGAATGGGTGGGTAGGTTGGTGGGTAGGTGGGTTGGTGGGTGGGTTGGTGGGTAAATGGGTAGGTTGGTGGGTAGGTGGGTGGGTTGGTGGGTGGGTTGGTGGGTGGGTTGGTGGGTGGGTTGGTGGGCGTGTGGGTAGGTGGGTGGGTGGGTGGGTGGGTTGGTGGGTGGGTTGGTGGGTGGGTTGGTGGGTGGGTTGGTGGGTGGGTGGGTTGGTGGGTGGGTTGGTGGGTGCGTCTCACCGTGCTGTCTCACCAAGCGGTAGGCTACAATCTGCATGACACCAAACTCCACTTCCTGCTCGTAGCCGGGGACACGCCGGAGGGTGGGGCCAGACAATCGCACCGTGTCCACCTGGAGCAGAACAACAACAACAACAACCACAACAACAACATCACAACAACATCACAACAACATCACAACAACATCACAACAACATCACAACAACATCACAACAACATCACAACAACATCAACAACATCACAACAACAACAACAACAACATCACAACAACAACCACAACAACAACAACCACAACAACAACATCACAACAACATCACAACAACAACATCACAACAACATCACAACAACATCAACAACATCACAACAACAACAACATCACAACAACAACCACAACAACAACAACAACCACAACAACAACACAACAACATCACAACAACAACATCACAACAACATCACAACAACATCAACAACATCACAACAACAACAACATCACAACAACAACCACAACAACAACAACAACCACAACAACAACATCACAACAACATCACAACAACATCACAACAACATCAACAACATCACAACAACAACAACATCACAACAACACCAACATCACAACATCACAACAACATCACAACAACATCACAACAACAACAACATCACAACAACATCACAACAACAACATCACAACAACAACATCACAACAACATCACAACAACAACATCACAACAACATCACAACAACATCACAACAACAACATCACAACAACAACATCACAACAACAACATCACAACAACATCACAACAACAACAACATCACAACAACATCACAACAACATCACAACAACAACAACATCACAACAACATCACAACAACAACACAACAACATCACAACAACATCACAACAACATCACAACAACATCACAACAACATCACAACAACAACATCACAACAACAACAACATCACAACAACATCACAACAACAACACAACAACATCACAACAACATCACAACAACAACAACATCACAACAACAACAACATCACAACAACATCACAACAACAACAACATCACAACACAACAACATCACAACAACATCACAACAACAACAACATCACAACAACAACATCACAACAACATCACAACAACATCACAACAACATCACAACAACATCACAACAACATCACAACAACATCAACGACATCACAACAACAACAACATCACAACACAACAACATCACAACAACAAAACCAACAACATCACAACACAACAACATCACAACACAACAACATCACAACACAACAACATCACAACATCACAACACAACAACATCACAACAACATCACAACAACATCACAACAACATCACAACAACAATATCGCAACAACAACAATATCACAACAACAACAACATCACAACAACATCACAACAACATCACAACAACAACATCACAACAACAACAACAATATCACAACAACATCACAACAACATCACAACAACAACATCACAACAACATCACAACAACAACATCACAACAACAACATCACAACAACATCACAACAACATCACAACACAACATCGCAACACAACAACATCACAACAACAACAACATAACAACACAACATCGCAACACAACAACATCACAACAACATAACAACACAACATCGCAACACAACAACATCACAACAACATCACAACAACATCACAACAACATCACAACAACATCACAACACAACATCACAACACAACATCACAACAACATCACAACAACATCACATCAACAATATCACAACAATATCACAACACAACATCACAACACAACAACATCACAACACAACATCACAACAACAAAACCAACAACACAACAACATCACAACACAACATCACAACATCACAACAACAAAACCAACAACATCACAACACAACAACATCACAACATCACAACACAACAACATCACAACAACAATATCACAACATCACAACACAACAACATCACAACAAAACAACATCACAACATCACAACACAACAACATCACAACAACACAACAACACAACAACATCAAAACATCACAACACAACAACATCACAACAACAATATCACAACAACATCACAACATCACAACACAACAACATCACAACAACAATGTCACAACAACAAAACAACAGCTCGTCACGCCCATCGTGGATCTGTGACTAAAAGAGCTTTAGAGATCTTCAGATTCCTCCTGCTGCAGTGTAAATACTGAGACTGTGTCATCACCACACCCCTCCTACCCCTCCTCCTCCCCCTCCTCCCTCTACCCCCCTCCTCCTCCTCCCCCTCCTCCCCCTCCTCCTCCTGCCCCTCCCCCTACCCCCCCTCCACCCCCTCCTCCTCCCCCTCTTAGCGGGGGTGGGTGGGGGGGGTGTGAGGGAGGGTAGGGGGGTGAGTGTGCGGTGAGTGTTTGGTGAGTGAGTGGTGAGCGAGCGGTGAGTGAGTGAGTGGTGAGTGAGTGGTGAGCGAGCGGTGAGCGAGCGGTGAGTGATGAGCGAGTGGTGAGCGAGTGGTGAGTGAGTGGTGAGTGAGTGGTGAGTGGTGAGCGAGTGGTGAGTGAGCGGTAAGCGAGTGGTGAGTGAGTGGTGAGTGGTGAGCGAGTGGTGAGTGAGTGGTAAGCGAGTGGTGAGCGAGCGGTGAGCGAGTGAGTGGTGAGTGAGTGAGTGGTGAGTGAGTGGTGAGTGATGAGTGAGTGGTGAGTGAGTGGTAAGAGAGTGGTGAGTGAGCGGTGAGTGGTGAGTGAGTGGTGAGTGAGTGGTGAGTGGTGAGTGGTGAGTGAGTGGTGAGTGAGTGGTGAGTGATGAGTGAGTGGTGAGTGAGTGGTAAGAGAGTGGTGAGTGAGCGGTGAGTGGTGAGTGAGTGGTGAGTGAGTGGTGAGTGAGTGGTGAGTGATGAGTGAGTGGTGAGTGAGTGGTAAGAGAGTGGTGAGTGAGCGGTGAGTGGTGAGTGAGTGGTGAGTGAGTGGTGAGTGAGTGGTGAGTGAGTGGTGAGTGAGTGAGTGGTGAGTGAGTGGTGAGCGAGCGGTGAGCGAGCGGTGAGTGATGAGCGAGTGGTGAGCGAGTGGTGAGTGAGTGGTGAGTGAGTGGTGAGTGGTGAGCGAGTGGTGAGTGAGCGGTAAGCGAGTGGTGAGTGAGTGGTGAGTGGTGAGCGAGTGGTGAGTGAGTGGTAAGTGAGTGGTGAGCGAGCGGTGAGCGAGTGAGTGGTGAGTGAGTGAGTGGTGAGTGAGTGGTGAGTGATGAGTGAGTGGTGAGTGAGTGGTAAGAGAGTGGTGAGTGAGCGGTGAGTGGTGAGTGAGTGGTGAGTGAGTGGTGAGTGGTGAGTGAGTGGTGAGTGAGTGGTGAGTGATGAGTGAGTGGTGAATGAGTGGTAAGAGAGTGGTGAGTGAGCGGTGAGTGGTGAGTGAGTGGTGAGTGAGTGGTGAGTGGTGAGTGGTGAGTGAGTGGTGAGTGATGAGTGAGTGGTGAGTGAGTGGTAAGAGAGTGGTGAGTGAGCGGTGAGTGGTGAGTGAGTGGTGAGTGAGTGGTGAGCGGTGAGTGAGTGGTGAGAGAGTGGTGAGTGAGCGGTGAGTGGTGAGTGAGTGGTAAGCGTGTGGTGAGTGGTAAGCGTGTGGTGAGTGGTGAGTGAGTGGTGAGTGAGTGGTGAGCGAGTGGTGAGTGAGCGGTGAGTGATGAGCGTGTGGTGAGTGAGTGGTGAGTGAGTGGTGAGTGAGTGGTGAGCGAGTGGTGAGTGAGTGGTGAGTGAGCGGTGAGTGATGAGCGTGTGGTGAGTGAGTGGTGAGTGAGTGGTGAGTGAGTGGTGAGCGAGTGAGCGGTGAGCGAGCGGTGAGCGAGCGGTGAGTGGTGAGTGAGTGGTGAGTGAGTGGTAAGCGTGTGGTGAGTGAGTGGTGAGTGAGTGGTGAGTGAGTGGTGAGCGAGTGGTGAGTGAGTGGTGAGTGAGTGGTGAGTGAGTGGTGAGTGAGTGAGCGGTGAGTGAGTGGTGAGTGAGTGGTGAGTGGTGAGTGAGTGGTGAGTGAGTGGTGAGCGAGTGGTGAGTGAGCGGTGAGTGATGAGCGTGTGGTGAGTGAGTGGTGAGCGAGTGGTGAGTGAGTGGTGAGCGAGTGAGTGGTGAGTGAGTGAGTGGTGAGTGAGTGAGTGGTGAGTGAGTGGTGAGTGGTGAGTGAGTGAGCGGTGAGCGTCCTCCCGCACCTCCTCGTCCGAGATGGCCGAGCGGAGCTGACAACTCCAGTTGACGAGCCGCTCCCCTCGCTGGAGCAGCCCGGCCTCGTGCAGACGCACAAACGCCTCCCTCACCGCTCGCGAGAACCCCTGGGGGCACGGGGGGGGGGGCACGGGGGGGGGGGCACGGGGGGGGCACGGGGGGGGGGCACGGGGGGGGGCACGGGGGGAGAAATGGGGGACACACAGGGAGACACGGGGACACTCAACACATTGGTGAGCGGGTGGGAGGGTGAGTGAGTGAGCGTGCAGGCGGGTGGGTGGGTGAGCGGGTGGGTGAGCGTGTGGGTTAGCAGGTGGGTGAGCGTGCGGGCGGGTGGGTGAGCGGGTGGGTGAGCGTGTGGGTGAGCGTGTGGGTGAGCGTGCGGGCGGTTGGGCGAGTGTGTGGGTGAGTGTGTCGGTGAGTGTGTGAGCGAGCGTGTGGGTGAGCGTGCGGGCGGTTGGGCGAGTGTGTGGGTGAGCAGGTGGGTGAGCGTGCGGGTGGGTGAGCGGGTGGGTGAGTGTGTGCGTGAGCGTGTGGGTGAGCGTGTGGGTGAGCGTGTGGGTGAGCGTGTGGGTGAGCGGGTGGGTGAGCGTGTGTGCGTGAGCGTGTGGGTGAGCGTGCGTGCGAGCGTGTGGGTGAGCGTGTGGGTGAGCGTGTGCGAGCGAGCGTGTGTGGCTAAGCGTGGGAGCGTGCCCCTCACCTCGTCCATGGTGAACCTGTCCCTGCTCCAGTCCAGCGAGGCTCCGAGACTCCGCAGCTGGGAGTAAATCTGCACCCCCTTCCTGCACACAGAGAGTGGCCGCTGTGGTTGCGTAGCTGACGTCAACACCGGGAAGACAAAGGCGGCCCGGGGCCTGGCTTTGCCGGCCACCCCACCCCCTGCTCCGCGCTACTAACAGCACTTTGCCCCGACCGCCGCCTGCCAAGAGGCTACCCGGGGGAGCTTTGTCTGCTGTGCGACTCACGTGTCCGCCCAGTGACGGGTCTCCCTGAGGAACTCGTCACGGCCCAGCTGGTGACGATTCAGACCCCGCTCCTTCGCCAGGTGACGTTCAACCACCACCTGAGCACGCACAAAGACAAAGGTCCCCCGTCGTAGCCTGTGACGGACTGCAGGGGGCAAGTGCTGTTAGCGAGCACCTATGAAGGCCGGTAACGGTACACGAGGGGGTGGGTGGCCAGCACCACCACGCACGCCCGGCCGCCTTTGTCTCCCCCGGTGGCGATGTTTACCACACACCGCACCAGGTAACTCATTTGAGGCTGAGTCGACCTAGGGGAGGCCCGGGACCGGTTCAGATAATCGTCACTGGTGTTGGCCGTGAGCGGGAATCGAACCCGGGTCGCCAGGTTCATAGCGCAGCGTAGCGCTAACCACTACACTACCGCTCCCCACATAGTACACACACAGGTACACACACGTACACACGCACACGCACACGTACACACACGCACGTACACACGTACATACGCACACACACACGTACGCACACACACGTACACACACACACGTACGTACACACACGTACACATACACACACACGTACACATACACACGTATGTACGAACACACCCAAGTACACACACAAGTACACACACACGCACACGTACACACACACATATATACACACACAAGTACACACACACACAAGTACACACACACACAAGTACACACACACACACAAGTACAGACACACACGTACACACACACACACAAGTACAGACACACACGTACACACACACACGTGTACACACACACACGTGTACACACACACACGTGTACACACACACACGTGTACACACACACACACGTGTACACACACACGTGTACACACACACACGTGTACACACACACACACGTGTACACACACAAGTACACACACGTGTACACACACACGTGTACACACACACGTGTACACACACACGTGTACACACACACACGTGTACAAGGCGAAGCCTTCCCAAACGAGAGCTCGACGAAGGGGCTCATCCGTCATCGTCGTCACAGTCGTTTTGTTGTGGTTGTTGTTGTGGTTGTTGTTGTTGTGGTTGTTGTTGTGGTTGTTGTTGTGGTTGTTGTTGTGGTTGTTGTTGTGGTTGTTGTTGTGGTTGTTGTTGTGGTTGTTGTTGTGGTTGTTGTTGTGGTGGCTGTTGTGGTTGTGGTTGTTGTGGTTGTAGCTGTTGTGGTTGTTGTTGTGGTTGTTGTTGTGGTTGTTGTGGTTGTGGTTGTTGTTGTTGTGGTTGTTGTTGTTGTGGTTGTTGTGGTTGTAGCTGTTGTGGTTGTTGTGATTCTAGCTGTTGTGGTTGTTGTTGTGGTTGTTGTTGTGGTTGTTGTTGTTGTGGTTGTTGTTGTTGTGGTTGTTGTTGTTGTGGTTGTTGTTGTTGTGGTTGTTGTTGTGGTTGTTGTTGTGGTTGTTGTTGTGGTTGTTGTTGTGGTTGTTGTTGTGGTTGTTGTGGTTGTTGTTGTGGTTGTTGTTGTGGTTGTTGTGGTTGTTGTGGTTGTTGTTGTGGTTGTTGTTGTGGTTGTTGTTGTGGTTGTTATTGTGGTTGTTGTTGTGGTTGTTGTGGTTGTTGTTGTGGTTGTTGTTGTGGTTGTTGTTGTGGTTGTTGTTGTGGTTGTTGTTGTGGTTGTTGTGGTTGTAGCTGTTGTGGTTGTTGTTGTGGTTGTTGTTGTGGTTGTAGCTGTTGTGGTTGTTGTTGTTGTGGTTGTTGTTGTGGTTGTTGTGGTTGTTGTTGTGGTTGTTGTTGTTTGCGGTTGTTGTTGTTGTGGTTGTTGTGGTTGTTGTTGTGGTTGTTGTGGTTGTAGCTGTTGTGGTTGTTGTTGTTGTGGTTGTTGTGGTTGTGGTTGTTGTTGTGGCTGTTGTGGTTGTTGTTGTGGCTGTTGTGGTTGTTGTTGTGGTTGTTGTTTGTGGCTGTTGTGGTTGTTGTTGTGGTTGTTGTTGTGGTTGTTGTTGTGGTTGTTGTTGTTGTGGTTGTTGTTGTGGTTGTTGTTGTGGTTGTTGTGGTTGTAGCTGTTGTGGTTGTTGTTGTGGTTGTTGTTGTGGTTGTTGTGGTTGTAGCTGTTGTGGTGGTTGTTGTTGTTGTTGTGGTTGTTGTTGTGGTTGTTGTTGTGGTTGTTGTGGTTGTTGTTGTGGTTGTTGTTGTTTGCGGTTGTTGTTGTGGTTGTTGTGGTTGTTGTGGTTGTAGCTGTTGTGGTTGTTGTTGTTGTGGCTGTTGTGGTTGTTGTTGTGGTTGTTGTTGTGGTTGTTGTTGTGGTTGTTGTTGTGGTTGTTGTGGTTGTAGCTGTTGTGGTTGTTGTTGTTGTGGTTGTTGTTGTGGTTGTTGTGGTTGTAGCTGTTGTTGTTGTTGTGGTTGTTGTTGTGGTTGTTGTGGTTGTTGTTGTGGTTGTTGTTGTTTGCGGTTGTTGTTGTGGTTGTTGTGGTTGTTGTTGTGGTTGTTGTGGTTGTAGCTGTTGTGGTTGTTGTTGATCTGGCTGTTGTGGTTGTTGTGGTTGTTGTTGTTGTGGTTGTTGTTGTGGTTGTTGTTGTGGTTGTTGTTGTTGTAGCTGTTGTGGTTGTTGTGGTTGTTGTTGTGGCTGTTGTTGTGGTTGTTGTTGTGGTTGTTGTTGTGGCTGTTGTTGTTGTTGTGGTTGTTGTTGTGGTTGTTGTGGTTGTTGTTGTTGTTGTGGTTGTTGTTGTGGTTGTTGTTGTGGCTGTTGTTGTGGCTGTTGTGGTTGTTGTTGTGGCTGTTGTGGTTGTTGTTGTTGTTTGTGGCTGTTGTGGTTGTTGTTGTGGCTGTTGTTGTGGTTGTGGTTGTTGTTGTGTTGTTGCGGTTGTTGTTGTGGTTGTTGTTGTGGCTGTTGTTGTGGCTGTTGTGGTTGTTGTTGTGGCTGTTGTGGTTGTTGTTGTGGCTGTTGGTGTGGTTGTGGTTGTTGTGGTTGTTGTTGTGTTGTTGTGGTTGTTGTTGTTGTTGTGGTTGTTGTTGTGGTTGTTGTGGCTGTTGTTGTTGTTGTGGTTGTTGTTGTGGCTGTGGCTGTTGTGGTTGTTGTGGCTGTTGTTGTGGCTGTTGTTGTGGTTGTTGGTGTGGTTGATGTGGTTGTGGCTGTTGTTGTTGTGATTGTTGTGGTTGTGGCTGTTGTGGTTGTTGTGGTTGTTGTTGTTGTTGTGGTTGTTGTTGTGGTTGTGGTTGTTGTGTTGTTGTGGTTGTGGCTGTTGTGTTGTTGTGGTTGTGGTTGTTGTTGTGGTTGTTGTTGTTGGTGTTGTTGTGGTTGTTGTTGTGGTTGTTGTTGTCGTTGTTGCTGTTGTGGCTATTGTGTAATCACCTGCGTGGCGATGCCCGCGTGGTCCCTGCTAGGCACCCACACCACCCTGTGTCCCTGCATGCGATGCCTGACCCACACACACAAAGATAAAGACAAAGATCCCCCTTAGCAGACTGTAGGGGCAAGTGCCGTTAGCGAGTAGCAGCGCCTATGAAGGCCGGCACGGCACACGAGGGGGTGGGTGGCCAGCACCACGCCCGGCCGCCTTTGTCTCCCCGGTGGCGATGTTTATTGCACACACAGCACCAGGTAACTCATTTGAGGCCGAGTCGACCTAGGGGAGGCCCAGCATTGGTTCAGATAATCGTCACTGGGTGGTGTTGGCCGTGAGCGGGAATCGAACTCGGATCGCCAGGTTCGTAGCGCTAACCGCTACATTACTACACACACACCCACACACAGTGAGTAGGTGAGGGAATGAGTAGGTGAGCGAGTGAGCGGGTGAACGAGTGAGCGAGAGGGTGAGTGAGCAGGTGAGTGAGCAGGTGAGTGAGCAGGTGAGTGAGCAGGTGAGTGAGCGAGTGCGTGAACGAGTGAGCGGGTCAGCGAGTGAGTGGGTGGGTGGGTGAGCGAGTGAGTGAGAGGGTGAGGGAGCGGGTGAGTGAGCGAGTGGGTGAGCGAGTGAGAGGGTGAGCGAGTGAGTGGGTGGGTGGGTGAGTGAGTAAGTGAGTGGGCGAGTGAGTGGGTGAGTGAGTGGGTGAGTGAGAGAGTGAGCGAGCGAGTTAGTGAGTGAGTGGGTGAGCGGGTGAGTGAGCGGGTGGAAAAGGCTCACCAGCGAGCTAACGTATCTTGCAAGGCAGCGGTGAGTGAGTGGGTGAGTGAGTGAGTGGGTGGGTGAGTGAGTGAGTGAGTGGGTGAGTGAGTGAGTGAGTAGGTGAGTGAGTGGGTGAGTGAGTGGGTGAGTGAGTGGGTGAGTGAGCGAGTAAGTGAGTGAGTGAGTGGGTGAGTGAGTGAGTGAGTGAGCGAGCGAGTGGGCGAGTGAGTGAGTGAGTGCGTGCGTGAGTGGGTGAGTGAGTGCGTGAGTGGGTGAGTGAGTGAGTGTGTGAGCGAGTGGGTGAGTGAGTGAGTGCGTGAGCGAGTGAGTGAGTGGGTGGGTGAGTGTGTGGGTGAGTGAGTGAGTGAGTGGGTGGGTGGGTGGGTAGGTGAGTGGGTGAGCGAGTGAGTGAGTGAGTGAGTGAGCGAGTGAGTGGGTGAGCGGGTGGGTGAGTGGGTGGGTGGGTGGGTGAGTGGGTGGGTGGGTGGGTGAGTGAGTGGGTGGGTGAGTGGGTGGGTGGGTGAGTGGGTGGGTGAGTGGGTGGGTGGGTGGGTGAGTGAGTGAGTGGGTGAGTGAGTGAGTGAGTGCGTGCATGAGTGAGCGAGTGAGTGAGTGGGTGAGTGAGTGAGCGAGTGGGTGAGCAGGTGAGTGAGCGGGTGGGGTCAGCTCACCAGCGAACTAACGCATCTTGCAAGGCAGCGGTGAGTGAGTGGGTGAGTGGGTGGGTGAGTGAGTGAGCGAGTGAGTGAGCGAGTGAGTGGGTGAGTGAGTGAGTGAGTGGGTGAGTGGGTGAGTGAGTGAGTGAGTGGGTGAGTGGGTGGGTGAGTGAGTGAGTGGGTGAGTGAGTGGGTGAGCGAGAGAGTGAGTGAGTGGGTGAGTGAGTGAGCGAGTGAGCGAGTGAGTGGGTGAGTGGCCTGGTGAGGTAAGCTCACCAGCGAGCAAACGCATCTTGCAAGGCAGCGGTGAGTGAGTGGGTGGGTGGGTGAGTGAGTGGGTGAGTGTGTGGGTGAGTGAGTGGGTGAGCGGGTGAGTGAGTGTGTGGGTGAGTGAGTGAGTGAGTGAGCGAGTGGGTGAGTGAGTGGGTGAGTGGGTGAGTGGGTGAGTGAGCGGGTGGGTGGGTGAGTGAGTGAGTGAGTGGGTGGGTGAGCGAGTGAGTGAGTGTGTGGGTGAGTGAGTGAGTGGGTGAGTGAGTGGGTGGGTGAGTGAGTGAGTGGGTGAGTGAGTGAGTGGGTGAGTGAGTGGGTGAGTGAGTGAGTGAGTGGGTGGGTGAGTGTGTGGGTGAGTGAGTGAGTGAGTGGGTGGGTGGGTGGGTGAGTGAGTGAGTGAGTGGGTGAGTGGGTGAGTGGGTGAGTGAGTGGGTGAGTGAGTGGGTGAGTGAGTGAGTGGGTGAGCGGGTGGGTGAGTGAGTGAGCGGGTGGGGTAAGCTCACCAGCGAGCTAACGCATCTTGCAAGGCAGCGGTGAGTGAGTGGGTGGGTGGGTGAGTGGGTGGGTGAGTGGGTGGGTGAGTGGGTGAGTGGGTGGGTGGGTGAGTGGGTGAGTGAGTGAGTGAGTGGGTGAGTGGGTGGGTGGGTGAGTGAGTGGGTGAGTGAGTGGGTGAGCGAGAGAGTGAGTGAGTGAGTGGGTGAGTGAGTGAGCGAGTGGGTGAGTGAGTGAGCGAGTGAGCGAGTGAGTGAGCGAGTGGGTGAGTGAGCTGGTGAGGTAAGCTCACCAGCGAGCTAACGCATCTTGCAAGGCAGCGGTGAGTGAGTGGGTGGGTGGGTGAGTGAGTGGGTGAGTGGGTGAGTGTGTGGGTGAGTGAGTGAGTGGGTGAGCGGGTGAGTGAGCGGGTGAGTGAGTGGGTGGGTGAGTGAGTGAGTGGGTGAGTGAGTGGGTGAGTGAGTGGGTGAGTAGGTGGGTGAGTGAGTGAGTGGGTGAGCGAGTGGGTGAGCGAGTGAGTGAGCGAGTGGGTGAGTGGGTGAGTGGGCCGGTGAGGTAAGCTCACCAGCGAGCTAACGCATCTTGCAAGGCAGCGGTGAGTGAGTGGGCGAGTGAGTGGGTGAGTGAGTGGGTGGGTGAGTGAGTGAGTGGGTGAGTGAGTGTGTGGGTGTGTGTGGGTGAGCGGGTGGGGTCAGCTCACCAGCGAGCTAACGCATCTTGCAAGGCAGCGGTGAGTGGGTGGGTGAGTGAGTGGGTGAGTGGGTGAGTGTGTGGGTGAGTGAGTGGGTGAGCGGGTGAGTGAGCGGGTGAGTGAGTGTGTGAGCGAGAGAGTGAGTGAGTGGGTGAGTACGCGGGTGGGTGTGTGTGGGTGAGCGGGTGGGGTCAGCTCACCAGCGAGCTAACGCATCTTGCAAGGCAGCGGTGAGTGAGTGGGTGAGTGAGTGGGTGGGTGAGTGAGTGAGTGAGTGGGTGAGTGAGTGAGTGGGTGAGTGAGTGTGTGGGTGAGTGAGTGAGTGAGCGAGTGGGTGAGTGAGTGGGTGGGTGGGTGGGTGAGTGGGTGAGTGGGTGAGTGAGCGGGTGGGTGGGTGAGTGAGTGAGTGGGTGGGTGGGTGAGTGAGTGAGCGAGTGGGTGAGTGAGCGAGTGGGTGAGTGAGTGAGTGGGTGAGTGAGTGAGCGAGTAGGTGAGTGAGTGAGTGGGTGGGTGAGTGAGTGAGTGTGTGAGCGAGAGAGTGAGTGAGCGGGTGTGTGTGTGTGTGGGTGAGCGGGTGGGGTCAGCTCACCAGCGAGCTAACGCATCTTGCAAGGCAGCGGTGAGTGGGTGGGTGAGTGAGTGGGTGAGTGGGTGAGTGAGCGGGTGGGTGAGTGAGTGAGTGGGTGAGTGAGTGGGTGAGTGAGCGGGTGTGTGAGTGAGCTGGTGATGTAAGCTCACCAGCGAGCTAACGCATCTTGCAAGGCAGCGGTGAGTGGGTGGGTGGGTGAGTGAGTGAGTGGGTGAGTGGGTGGGTGGGTGAGTGAGTGAGTGGGTGAGTGAGTGGGTGGGTGAGTGTGTGTGTGAGTGAGCTGGTGATGTAAGCTCACCAGCGAGCTAACGCATCTTGCAAGGCAGCGGTGAGTGGGTGGGTGGGTGAGTGAGTGAGTGGGTGAGTGAGTGAGTGGGTGAGTGAGTGAGTGGGTGAGTGGGTGAGTGAGTGAGTGGGTGAGTGAGTGAGTGGGTGAGTGGGTGAGTGAGTGGGGTAAGCTCACCAGCGAGCTAACGCATCTTGCAAGGCAGCGGTGAGAGCGTGTCCGAGGTGCAGAGTCCCCGTGACGTTGGGTGGAGGGAGACACAGGGAGAAGTGAGTGGAGACACGGTGGGGGAGACGATCCTGAGACACGCGGAGACACGGGGAGACACGGGGAGACACGGGGAGACACGGTGAGACACGGGGGGACACGGGGAGACACGGGGAGACACGGGGAGACACGGGGAGACACGGTGAGACACAGGGAGACACGCGGAGACACGGGGAGACACGGGGAGACACAGGAAGACACGCGGAGACACAGGGAGAAACAGGGAGACACGGGGAGACACGGGGAGACACGGTGAGACACAGGGAGATACAGGGAGACACGGGGAGACACAGGGAGATACAGGGAGACACGGGGAGACACGGTGAGACACAGGGAGACACGGGGAGACACGGTGAGACACAGGGAGATACAGGAAGACACGGGGAGACACGGTGAGACACGGGGGGACACGGGGAGACACAGGAAGATACAGGGAGACACGGGGAGACACAGGGAGATACAGGGAGACACGGGGAGACACAGGGAGATACAGGGAGACACGGGGAGACACAGGGAGATACAGGGAGACACGGGGAGACACGGGGAGACACGGGGAGACACGGGGGGACACGGTGAGACACGGGGAGACACGGTGAGACACGGTGAGACACAGGGAGATACAGGAAGACACGCGGAGACACAGGGAGATACAGGGAGACACGGGGAGACACAGGGAGACACGGGGAGACACAGGGAGATACAGGGAGACACAGGGAGACACGCGGAGACACGCGGAGACACGGTGAGACACGGTGAGACACAGGGAGATACAGGAAGACACGCGGAGACACAGGGAGATACAGGGAGACACGGGGAGACACAGGGAGATACGGGGAGACACGGTGAGACACAGGGAGACACGCAGAGACACAGGGAGACACAGGGAAACACGGGGAGACACAGGGAGACACGCAGAGACACAGGGAGACACAGGGAGACACGGGGAGACACGCAGAGACACAGGGAGACACGCGGAGACACGCAGAGACACAGGGATACACGTGGAGACACAGGGAGACACGCGGAGACACGCAGAGACACAGGGAGACACGGGACGACACAGGGAGACACGGGCAGACACGGTGAGACACGGGGAGACACAGGGAAACACAGGGAGAGACGCGAAGACACAGGGAGACACAGAGAGACACGTGACGTACTCACGTGGTACTCGTGTGATGTACTCACGTGGTACTCGTGTGAAGTACTCACGTGGTACTCGTGAAGTACTCACGTGGTACTCGTGTGAGGTACTCACGTGGTACTTGTGAAGTACTCACGTGGTACTCGTGTGAAGTACTCACGTGGTACTCGTGTGAAGTACTCACGTGGTACTCGTGTGAAGTACTCACGTGGTACGTGTGAAGTACTCACGTGGTA